TACAAACACCGAGAAATCCGGAATGCGGGTGGTCGCTTGAGCCATCGGGGTTGTTTTGTGGTTGTTGGTGTTTTTTTGTTTTTTTTTTCTGAAGCTGGATTTACCTCAGATTTTCCTGTATCTAGGTGACCTTTTGGTTGCAGGGATACCAGGTACCATTTGATTTTTTATTTGACTGTTGCTGTGAAACTGGTTTCATGCCTGATTGATCGGAGACTCGTACTGCAAAGGGCTGTGTTTGTTTGTTGACATGTTTGGGGGTGAAATACGTAACTCCCAGTGTCCGAGTACTTTTTGGAAAGTGGTGGGAGGGGGGGATGGGTCTGCAGAAACTGCTGTGCTCTTAATATAAGCTTCATTCTGCAAAATATTGGCTGTAGCTCGTCTCGGTTCCGATACGTAGGGCGACTCAGCTTCTTGTTGTCCATGGATGTTTTAGCCCACAGTCAAATTCACTTAGTAAAAGTTAGTAAAAAGGCTTGTCTGTGCAGTAGGTGAAGTGTGGATACTGTGGATAAACATGCTAGTCGAGTTATAATAAGTTCTGCTGAGAAGAACAAAACCTGAACTATTGGAAGCCCGTGAGATGGTTGTTCGGGTCTGGTATCCACCGAAGTGCTTGGAGATGAGAGAAACCAGCATTCCCCCCTAAAAAATCTCTTTGCAGCTCCGTTCCTACTAATATATATTTATGATTTTAAACCAAACTTTTATCAGGCCACAAATAATCTCTCTGCTCTTTTTTTATTATTCTCAGATATATTTACCAGACTGTGAGAGTGCAGGACCAGGGCATTTTTTCTTTCTTTTTTTTTTTTTTTTCCCCCTATATGTGACCCAGATTTTTATTTGCTGAAGTTTTAAGGTGTGCTTGCCTATCGATTATGTATGAAGTTTAAAATTTACTGATGTGGGAGAGATTGCTACAAAACTCATGCCCCAGTGTAATGTTAGGCCTATAACTGAGATTTCCTGGTACGCAGTGGTTCGGCTAGTGGTTCTGAGCATGAAAATTCACTTAGATCCTAATTTTAAGCCTTAACAAAGTTTCCTGGTTTTCAGAAATGCCGGTCACTCACAGCTGCAATTGATTTCTCTAGAAATTAGGCTTGTTCAGCAATTAAATCAGGGGTAGGTGATTATCTGGGAGTGACTTTATGTGAAAGTAGGCATTTCACTCTGAATATTTTAGAATATAGGAATGTGGTTTGATATACGTAATGATGTTCTAATAAAATTTGTGCTTCAGGGTAATGTAGGCATAGGGCCATCGTTCTAAGTAAGGGCGAAGAGGTATTTGAGTCACTGATTTTAAATTGAGGATTTTGTTCTATTTTTGTAATTTTGCTTAAAATACTGTTTTGAAGTAGTGTCAAGTAAAGGCATGAAGCACTAAATTAATTATCAGAAAATTAGTACAGGCTGAAAGAAAAATAATGCACAGCATTGATACTGTAACTGTTGGCACTTGAATTTCTACAGTTCTAATGATAGTATGGGCCAATTCCTTTTAAAAAAGTATGGTTTTTTTTTTTGTTTCTACGGGGTTTTCAGAATAATGGGGGCTAGGTCATGCGTTTTGCTCCCTGACTCGAGAGAGTGAGATGGGAGGGGTGTGTTTAGGGTCTATTTTAGAACAAGGCTTACTTTGCCTTATATATTCCTCTTGCTGGCTGCCACGGAAGTTTGCATAATTACAGATCCATTTAGCAGCGCGGCATCTCCACTTCATCTGATCCCCTTCCTCCGTGGCAGAAACATTTCCCATTCACCTTTTGCATTACTTCTCTCCCTGCTCAGCTCATCCTTCGTGCCTCCTCAGGTGGCTGTACAAGCAGTTTGTATAGCTGTGAAGGGGCAAGTCAGCCCCCCGCCTCCTCACAACTTCTGCTTCCTTCTAAAGCATCCTGTGTTACGCTGAGTGGTGAAGAGAAACCCTCTTTAGCACACCAGCCTCCCTGACTTTGCTGTCTCTGTAGCATGGCAGTGGAAGGCCTTTGGAGGAGCAAAGCTGTCCTTGGAGGAGCAGAGCTGTGATGAGCGATTTCCATGGGGTTTATGTCCTGCCTGACACCGATGCGTCCTCCTTTCAGGGTCTCTCTGGTTCCCCTCCTTCCTTGCTACCCCACATCCCTATTTTTCTCCCAGGTCTCTGGCTGAAGGGCAGCCCACGATACCACTGGCACCGGCCACGGGGCTGTGGCCAGTGAGAGGGGGCGGGTGTTGTGCTGACCTTGCCGAGCCATTCCTTTCGGGGAAGGGCGGGGAGCAATAATTTGGGTCTTTTCTAACTGCTGAGCGGCAGTTTTTCCCTCGGACCCCGTCGGGCTGTCATGTCCTTGAGACCTTTTCCTTCGGTTTGATTGAAATTGGACAAATGGCTGAGAGGTGATGGATGGGGCAGGGAAACGGGACTGGCAGGCAGACGGAGAGGAGGATAGACAGAGTGAGCGGATATGCCTTGTTTCCTTAGGAAATTAGGAAATTTCCTTAGGAAGTCACACTGTCCTGTCATTTATTGATTTTGCTTCTTTGTATATGTCTTTGCTAGTTATGGAGACAAAAGGATACCACAGCTACCCAGAAGGCTTAGATATGGAGAGACGGTGGGGACAAGTTTCTCAGTCTGTGGAGTATTCTTCTATAGGTGCTGGAGAGCAGACTGGTGACAGTAACTACATGGAGATTGTAAACGTAAGCTGCGCTGCCGGTGCTTTTGCGAACAGCAACGCTCAAGGAAACAACAAAGAAAAACCTGAGCTACTCTCCTGCCTGCAGCAAGACAGCAGTCAGCCTGGTCTTTTGCCCTCCGACATCAAAACTGAAACGGAGTCGAAGGAGCTGTCAGCAACGGTGGCTGAATCCATGGGGTTATATATGGATTCGATCCGAGACGCCGATTACCCCTACGATCAGCAGAACCAGGGGAGCCCGGGAAAGATCTACCAGAACGTGGAACAGCTTGTGAAGCTCTACAAGGAGAACGGCCATAGCTCTTCTCCCCTCCACAGTGCCAGCAGGCCCTTGAGGTCTTTGATGTCGGACTCCGGGAGTGCCGTGAACGGTGGTGCCATGCATGCTATTGTCAAAAGCCCCATCATGTGTCAAGAGAAAAGCCCTTCGGGCTGCAGCCCTCAGAACATGGCTTCCTCGGTGTGCAGCCCTGCAGGGGTTAACTCCGTGTCCTCGACTACTGCTAACTTTGGGAACTTTGCCGTGCACAGCCCCATCGGTCAGGGAACCCCTCTGTCATGCTCGCCGAACGTTGAAAACCGGGGGTCTATGCTGCACAGTCCCGCGCACGTTAGCAACGTCGGGTCTCCGCTTTCTAGCCCTATAAGTAGCATGAAATCGCCGATTTCTAGTCCTCCCAGTCATTGCAGTGTGAAATCTCCCGTCTCGAGTCCCAGTAATATCACGATGCGATCTTCTGTGTCCAGTCCTGCGAACCTGAACTCGAGGAGCTCCATTGCCAGCCCTTCCAATGCCAACAACAGGTCCACTCGCTCCAGTCCGGCAGTTAGCACTGTGGGATCGTCCATCTGTAGCCCCGTCAACAGCTCCCTAGGATTCCCGGCTTCCGGCACGCCGGTGGGACCTAGCAGAAGCCAAGACACCGTTCCCAGTCCAGACACGAAAGACAAGGGTGCTCAAGAACTCCCGTTTCCTAAGATGGAGGAAATGGAGAATGCCATCTCCAACAACAGTCAGATGAACCTTGTTCAGTTCATAAAACCCGAGCCAGACGGTTCGTTCGGCAGCGCGTGCATTGGCGACAGCAGCAAAATAAACTCCGACTCCCCTTTTTCAGTACCGGTGAAGCAAGAGTCAGCCAAGCATCCTTGTTCTGGTGCCACTTTTAAAGGGAATCAAACAGTAAATCCTTTCCCATTTACAGATGGCTCGTATTTTTCTTTTATGGATGACAAAGACTATTACTCTCTTTCCGGGATTTTAGGACCACCTGTTTCTTCGTTTGACGGAAGTTGTGAAGGTAGCGGTTTTCCAAATCCAGGCCTACGTGTGGGAATTAAGCAGGAGCCTGACGATGGCAGCTATTACCAAGAAAACAGTATACCATCCTCTGCCATTGTGGGTGTAAATTCAGGTGGACAGTCATTTCACTACAGGATCGGTGCCCAAGGCACGATATCTTTGTCGCGGCCGGTTGCTCGGGAGCAGGCGTTTCAGCACTTGAGCTCGTTCCCTCCCGTCAGCACGCTAGTGGAGACCTGGAAGTCGCATTCGGAGTTGGCATCCAGAAGAGGTGATGGGTATCCAGTTCTAGAGTACATTCCAGAAAACGTGTCCAGGTGAGCAGGCAAATTATTACTTTTTTACTCCTTCCCCCTCCTCGCTTCTTTTTTTTTTTCTTCTTCCCCTGCATTAAACGAAGAAGGCATGAGTTAAAATGGGGACCAGTGCGGTATTTCTCAAGCTGATGTGTAATTCTTTGTTTGCATTTCAATTCTTATCATTAGATTTGCTGGTTTCTTGCTGTATTTTACTCTGCCTTTAATAAAAACAAAGCGCTGGCTTTAATATTTAAAAAGAACATATTATATTCTATTGTTATTAGAATCGAAAGTGTAGCTTTAGTATGTTTATGAGCTCTTACTACTATAAATGTTGTTTTTCCCATAATGAGAACTTAGTTAAATTGCTCTCGTGTGTCCTGTAATGGTTATTCTTTCTTAGCTGGTACTTGAATATGTTGTACCTCAGATGAAATGTTGAGATGAGGATAAGAAGATGATAGTGTCGGGAATCTGGTTTTGTAAGGATGCATGGCTATAAAGGATGCATGGCTGTAAGTTTGCACTGGACTTTAACTGGTTAAGTTAAAAACCTAAACCTTACAAGCCTATGGCAACATATTATTTCTGTATTTTAACTGTAGGAACATTTGGTTTGTATATATAGAAAAATGCCTCCAGAAGGAGGAGGACTGCTAAAACTTGACACATTTGAAAGGGATGAATGGATAAACTGATCTCCTCACTTTTGGTGGAAGAGAAATAGGCAAGTGTCGTTGGAATTTGTGTTTCTTGGCTCATTCATGGAAGCACATACTTCTTTGGCAAACAGGTGTTCATGTATCTCATAAAGGATGCTTACTTCCTATCTGGTTTCATAGTCAGTATTACAAGTTATTAAGTGTATCTGACTGCATGGGTGAGTTAAAATAGTTACATAGCCTCTTTGGGTGTCAAACAGGCTCACCAAAGGTTCATGCTAAAGTTCAGTGAAATACTCAGTAGCAAAATTTGCATTTGCCTTTTCTCAATTCTTTTTTTCTTGTCGCAAGATACACCATCACCCTCATTGAATGAAATGTCTGCCTTATTCTTGGAGTGGGGTGAGGAGGATGTGTAGTGTTTTCTGTATTTATACGATGCTATATATTTCCGAAAAAAACAGTGTTGTGGTGAAAAACGTAATACTGAAAATAATTCTGCTTTTGGAGAGGAAAACCAGCCTACCTACCCATGAGGAAAAAAAGACCTTAAATATTTCCATTTTATCCTCTGATCTGTCCAATACCTCTATAATCTCCTTATTCTTCAAGCCATACTTTGCTTTTTCTTTGGCCATTTCAAATATGGTCTCTAAAGAATGCATTTTTTAATGTGTTTTTCTCAGCTTGAAAGGGATATATCATACCTTCCTGCT